AATGTCGGCTGCAACCCTCAAGTCTATGTCACTTCCTGAAAAATAACTATCCAAATGGGAAAATATTTCTTCAAATCGGTCGAGTAGTATAAGTTATTAAAGATTTAATGATTATTTAATATAAACTAAAACGAACAGACAATCTAATCTTTTCTCATCTTAATATCATTATCATAGACGACAGGTCTACGGACTACTTTCTTAGAAGCAAATTAGGTTGGTATTATACCTAATATTATGTTCACGCTCTCATACACAATCTGAGTTGGCAATATTAGACCGTGTAATTAACAAGTTTTGTGCTATATCGTTTCATTGTAGTTTATTAAATTCTACTCAGATTTAGTGGAGAGAGAAATTTCATTAAAATTATTATCACACTTGAAAAGCAAAATTGTTACGTAAATTATAAAAAGTTGCTGACAAGAGTGAAGTTTGTGAATTTGTTTGTGTAGAGAGTGGTATAGTCAATTGAGTAAAACATAATATATGATAACATTAATTTGTTATCCATGTTTTTAAAAGTAAATTTTCATTTTTTCTTTTATTCAATTCTCACCTTTAATCTCTGCAAAAGCAATGTTCTTGTGTTGACCCCACCGTACTCACGAACCTTGTACAGAATTTTAGGCAAGCACTAGTTTGCTAAAAGCCATGGCGAATGGCGATCACTTCTCGAGATGACTTTTGGACTCAACACTCACTTTCATAAAACACGCTGTATTTTAAGTCACAGGTTGACAAGGAAAAATACCAAGACACTTCGTCCGTTGCCGAAAACCGTTTAAAATAGCGTTTCGTTATTTTGACAGCCCTATCAGTGGTTTACATGGTAAAATACGAACTTCCTGCTTCAAGTTGACGTATACAACGTTCCTTTGATACCTTTGAAGAAGTAGCTGACAAAGTTATTGATAAATAACGAAAAGCAAAGTTGGGAAATATAATAATCTTCAAACAGGGGATACTGTGGACCGCCCTAAATCGATTATTGTGGAACTTAATAATCGTGTTTATTTTTTATTATAATTCTAAGTGGAAATGACGGTCCTTTACACAGCGTGGCAGTATTATGATGATGTACATAAACAAGCGTTGAGGATAATAAATTAAAATCTTATTGGACTAAGGCCAAGTAAAATCTTGCAGAGGACGAGAGAGGGAACGGAAACTATAGATTAGATCATTACCGATATACGCAGTACCTCTAGTTAAATATTTTAACAAGATTACATAAAAGGCAAACGTTATACCTAACGAGAATTAAATCTGCCTATTCAAGGCGTAAACATAAAATTGTACTCGGAAGCCTATCTCAATAGAGCATTTTAAAGAAAGATTTATGAATCTTGCTTTTAGGTCCAAAGTATGCATTACCAACGCCTTGCATCTTATATTCATTTAATCAAAACATCCGGCGCTGAGACGCCATATTAAAGTCTTTGAAAGGAGAGACTCAGGTAATGTTAATGGGGATTAACTGTAGTGCGGCTTTCGTACCACCAAACGAGCTGTGATGCCTTTGAAATTCGTTAACAATGTTGGTGACTAAATAACTTAAGGTTTATAGTGTGGGAATTGGCCAACGTTGCCTGAAGTGGATAATACTTTATGCGGAATTTTTAAAAGAAATTCCGCTGTTCATTCCTTCATGTCTTGCGTTGAGTCGAAGGTCTTTAATAAATAATTGTAATAAATAAATGATGAAGCTGATTATTTTTTATAAGCACTGTATAGAAAACTTTTCGTCCAAAATATGACATGATTTTCATTTTCCCGATTTATACCAGTACACCATAAAGATACGGTGACACTGACAGCAAGATATTTTTCGCAGAAATCTTTCTTCATTCCTTTTTCATGAAGCTCTCGAGCTTAAGCACCTCTTATATCTACAGATACCTCATCAATGATACTTTGAACACAAATGGACTCAAGATCTCGTGACAGAGGTCTAATCTCATTTCTGTTTCAAGTATTCGACCCTCAGATTGTTTGTCCTCACAAATGACTATTAGTTGTTCACGAACAATTTGTCAGAAATTAAGTTTTATGTTCGTTTAATTCATCGGCAATAGTTTGGAAAATTAATTTATATTTCATAACGAGCCTTGGTTTTGAAGGCTCGTCTAGATTAATTAAAATCTTTAGCAAATGATTTATAATTTTCTGAAGGCGGTAAACGGACCATTCATATAATGAGGCAAGTTCAAACGTATAGCCACTGCGGTGAAGAACGCTTTGCTTAAGTGAGGTGCATTTATAAAGTTTGAGCTCAAAATGAGGGAGTTTTGTTAATTTTTAATTGATACGTATTTTTATTCTAATTTGTACTTATGCTTTTAAGTATTATGAGCGTAACTATTATAATTATTACACTTAAAAGCATGAATAAACGAAATGTAAATTTTATAATGTTTAGTTCATTTCAAGGAGAACACCATAAGACTATTAAAAGTCACAATTAGCTGGAACAAAAGTAACAAGAACACAGATCTAAGAACTATTTATGTTAGCGTTCGATAAGATGATTGCAATTTATTAGCAAAGTGAGGACTATTCCAGTCATTCCCGTTTTAGTTCTCACAAGCTAGGTGGTACGTAATTCTTTCCCATCATATGAAAGCAAGTAATTAGTAGAGTTTAATCCGGGATATTAATAAGCATAGCTATCAAGTTATACTATCCATTTATGCTTCTGATCAAAGGAGCCACTCGTTTTATTCTATATAATCTCGCCAGTTAGTACTTTTCTTGGCATGTTATTAGTCATGCCCTGTAGTTACGTATTATAATGACTAGGGAACTTATTCCTAAACCCTGATCACGATAGGCACTGGACTCCAAGCTAGTATTAAAAAAATGAATAAAAATGGTAGCCTTAAAGAATATACTATTATTTGCCAGAATCAAGCATTAAAGTAAGATTTTCTTGTAGGTAGTTCATAGTCACTATAGTCACTAATAGACTACCCGACAAGAAAATCTAAAACCGGTGTTTTTTAACTCACTATGCCATAGTGAAATTCCCCGATTTACATTTTTCCAGTAAAGACACTGAACGACAAACTCTAAATAGGGATTTCGTTGCAGACATATGAATTGGCACGGATTCAAGAGTACGTGTTTCTGACTAGCACTTAGCCGGATTTTTATTCCGTCTTTTAAAACCGGCTTAGAAAGGTTTAAGGAATTGAACGCCGTATATTGGATAGACTCAAGCAGCCTGTTACATTACGGACGGACCCGAATGAATCTTAAAGACTCGGATTGACACAATAAAAGGCTTATTTGATTTCGATCCGATTTCACTAGGATTGTTCTCGTTTCCTCCTGCTACGTATAAATGAGCGGTCCTTCTGTTCATGAATGATGTAAGATGTTTAGAGAACCTTTCCAGTACTCATTTGATTAAATGTTCGGACTTTTGCTTTTGTATTTCTTCGTAGAATTAGTATTTTTAATCAGATTGATGGAATAGCCTTGAAGATTCAGTCAACATGTGTGTTTATCTTGGCGTAATTCTTCTCAATTAATTCTTCATACATAATTATGCCAAGCTGATGAAAGAAACTATATTATTAAAGCTAAAGACGTTTTACATTCTTTTTTTAAAGCGAAATTAATTAAAACGTAATGCGACAGTATGGGTGCTTTTAATACCACCTCATTTTCATCAAATGGGTGTTACACCTGCGTGCTGCAGGGATGAAAAACACAATTTAAACAAAATTACACGAATAATGCAGTAGGGTGGATGTTGGATGTAGTTCCTGACAGTGCTAATTAAAATCGTACAGCATACCGTGAATTCGTGGCGTGCGTTCGCATTGGTTCGCATCGAGAGCTCGCGCACGACTTGCTACCGAGTTTTATTTGACCAATACGGAATTCGAAATTTAAATGCATTCCATTTTTTATTTTATTCTAAAAAGTTTTGTTTTATTATGAAAAGAGTATTGAACCATGTAACTGGCTGAATGTAGAATTAATACTATACCGACAACATTTCGTGGAATGGATATAAATGGTAAAAAATCGTTATTTTTTAAAAATAATATCCAAACGTATTACCTTATCGAATACATGTTCACAGTCTTACTATAATAATGAATTCAAATAAGTTTTATGTTTATTGGTAAAGTGTATGTTGTGGGGGAAATAAAATTAAATACAATCACTACAGACTGTGCTATTCCAACCAATTACAAGAATTCTATGAACAAGGAAGATTTGTTAAAATTAACGGTCAAGACTATAATTTCTAAGTATACGTAGACTTTATCACTTCCTTATAAAGTCCTATGTGTTTATGTATTCACTATAAGGGAAATTAAAGTACCTAGTATTTTACTGTAATTTTATTTACAAGGCTGTATATTTAATTTAAACTATCTGCAAGAGCAGTTATCGTCAGTTATAGTGATAGTCAGCAGATTGATACAGCGCCTAGTAGAAATACGAAGACATTTATAACAGTAAAGGTATTTTTAGTCTAGAACCTGCACAGAATACTAGGCTCATAAATTGGAAATAATCCAGAACTCCGTCATTCTCTGTCACATAATTTATCCAAACTTATCCAGAGGCTGTACAACTGGGCCAATATTAATCAAATGAAAGTTCGTAAATGTCAGCAAATAGAACATTTTCTTCCACGAAACCTCGCCGTTATGATCGATATATTGTACTGTGAGCTGTATTACATATATTTATTGAAGTAGCGGATCAAAGTACCACCCATCCGCACTAACTACTCCAACCTACATACATGAAATATTATATTAACAACAGTAATTAACGAGCTAGACGAGACACCGGATAACGTGTTGTATACAATGTACCACTAATTGAAAACTTTTCACAATATTGTTGCAACGAACGTTCGTTATTTTTGTGATATTTCAATTTCATCCCGTCGAAACAGAAACAAAATATTATCTCATTGAACACATCAAAACGAGACGCGACAAAAAAGAAAATGAAATGTTAATTAGCTGTCACGAACTTTGACTCCAATAAGGTTTGACACAATGAGAAAAAGCGTCAAAAATGTTTCCGTAAGAGAACAGCGGCGATATTAATAAAGAGCCCACCTTTTTGTATCCGCCGAGCCGCAGTGCCCTCTGCAAGCGCGCGGCTCGCGTCGTCGACAGGTACACTATAGGCACCGCCTCCCCCGCTTCCAACTCGATATCGAAGTCGTTAACTGCCTCACAAAACTTATAATCCTCAAACTTTTTTGCCTCACTCTTCATTAGTTCCTCAGTGTCCCCGTCGTCACTTATCTCGTCTTTTAAAACTTCGCTGGCCGGAATGAAAAGAGGGTTTTCGTAACAACGATTAAGAAGTTTAGGAGCTTCGTTTAAGATGTCTATTTCTTCGGAAATCCGCTTTTTGATGTCACGAGCTGATTCGGGCTCGCTATCCTCTTCCGGGAAAGTTATCAGATAATTGTCGGTCACCGGGTACTGCTCGTCTCCGCACAAGTCTTCGATCACTACGGGCGGCATGATTGTGTCTGATGACGCGGAAGAGTACGCGCTCCACCTCAAGCCGTTGTTGAGACGGCCGCACTCCATTGTCCCGAGAGTTATGTTTACACCGATTGAATAACTTTGTTTATTATTCAAGAGACATAAATATGTATGTGTAACTTTCAGTGCGACAGTAAAAGTAGAATAATGAATTGCGTCTGTCGACGAGTGGGCGTATTGAGTATCTGATTTCAATCTGCAATCATCTGACCGCTGCACGCGTTCACGTGATGCTCATGGAAAACAAACCTTGTGGCGCTAGGCAAAGAAGTTATTTTTGGAAACTCTGCAATCGTGCGAATAAAGCAATGTAAACATTTTTCTAACCCTGGCGAAGAAAATTAAAAATTCAGACCGCTTGAAAATAACGTACCTATGTACATATTTATAAGGCGTTATGCTCACGTGTGTCAGGTGCAAAGCATATATTTTATACGTTGCTTATTGCTTTTTTCGTGGAGGAACGAAGGGAATACAATATGAAAATGTTTTGATGTTTTTAAAACGGGTATCAAATTGTAGCGAAGCCTGTCCGCAGGTGGTGAAAGGTGTGTGATAAGGGTCACCGAGGGAGCCGACCATGCTTCTACCTCTCATCTCGAATAAGCCATGCTCAGCCTTATGGAATACTTTATATTTAATTTTCCCCTGCCGTTATAGAGTTATTCTGTTTATTTTGAAACCGCCGTGTTGGTGTTACATGTGTAAATCTTTTCTCAAAACAAATAACTGACATGAACTAAGGTTAATTTTGAAATAACCTCGTCTACCGAGAACGAATTTGTACTCGTTGCCATTTATGAAGGCGGCTGAAATAAATCAGACGCAGTCCAGACGGGACAACCAAAAACGTAAATGTCATGCAACAAAACTATGGTCGGTACTCTCGGTGCGGTGTCATCGCTCCCGACCATCTATTTAGAAGCCACTACGTGCAGTAAAAGAGGGATATCATCATTTATATAGTCTGTTTCGCTGGAACTATTTAATAGAGTCAGTCCAGTCCCCGAGAATGCTTGACGTTCGATACGTCCGCAGTGCATCGATATGTCAAAGGTTTTCGAGAGCCACATATGCATCACCTTCTTTTTCTGTTTGAAATTTCTGAATACATACGAACACTTCCAGTTCTTTTCAACTAAATTACAATACCAGATATCCTTGGAATGAATAATATAAGACAATTCAAAATCTCCTGATGATACATTAATTGCCTTTACTTCATCGAATAAATGGGCGATCTAAAAGATTAGATAAAATAAATCATGCTGAACGTCTTATTTATGGAAGGAACTTAATTAAATCCAGACATTGAAGACTAGCTCTAATAAATATTAATTTATTTTGTACAATACGGTCTGTTTTACAGACATAGACCACCTTAAATAAGTATTGTGGAATTTGAAGTCGCATTCGCATTTAAGAGCTATAGTTTTAAACTCACAACTACCTCTAAACTTTTTTGCAGTTCATAACAACATACTAAATTTTGTATAAAAACGGAGGATAAACTGATAGACGATAGTTGACCAAAAGGCCTTTTTTATCGAACAAAATTATATTCGTGTTATCATAAAGCAGAGCCATATTGCTCCATGACATAATTAGCCTATACGAGACATCATACAGAGCCATGGAACTACGATTGAAACTAACTGACAGATAAACGTGACGTAAAATTAACAGGAAAGCTGTACTATAAATGATGTACTAACAAAAACAATAGATGGTTAAGAATGTGTTACATAGCTGGGAAGGAGCGCGTTCCGCAGACCACGCCTCACAGAGCCATCAGACCACCACGGATGGGGCTCAATAGGGCTGATGATGAAAAAGGTTACCGGGACTCCGGCTTGCAGTAGGAACGGAGTGGTTTTTAGTAAGTTAGAGTCTGACACTTCCACCCGCCTCACCTAGGCGGGAGAAGTCATACAATGATTTCCTTCTTAAAAAAAATCGGAATGGAGATCAAAGTGTTGGTAGTTGGTAGATAAGTGACGAAGTTAATATTTGTAATCTGTAAACTGTAATATTTAAACTAAGGATCTGTGGATATACAATTTGAAATTATTCGTTTGAAATCACCAATCAATCCACTTTGAACAAGCATGGGGATTAATGTCTTTTCCTTGAGAGAAGAGGCACTTAGGCAACAGCGCGACAGTAACAGGCTAATAAATATTTTGATTAGACAGAAGTAAAACTACTAAACTAATACATATTAGTCGATTATGTTCCACAATGAATAGATATCCAAAACATCGCAACATTGGAACACAAAGTGATTACAATAATTAATGACAATAGTCGATTGTCAGGTATTGTTTGGTAAATACTGACTATTCTGACATCCTAACATTTTACTGACTACAAACTCGTATCATTGTTAACAAACTACATATTATTATGTTTCGTATGATTATATTGTTTTGCTTTGATAGTTGCATTTTGCATTGTTGTTTTTTTAACTACAATTGTACAATGTAGAAATGTATTATTGATAGCTTATATTGCTGATAGCTGTCCACTAGGTATTCCGTCCGTTTATTTGCCTTCTATCCCATAACAAATACACAGGTAGGTTTAAAGGTGTCAAGAAGATCGTTTAGAGGTTTGTAGGTCTTTTTATTGTTATGTTTATTCATCGATAAATTGTAAAAGACTTATTAAGTTTCCAAAAACAACTATAAACTTTACCCGAAAAGGATATTCGGGTCCCTTGTGTGTTTAAAATATGTTTGTTGTGATGCTAACTCATAAAAACTCTAAAAGTTTTGAAAGTATTTCCCTTTTGTTTCCCCTAAGGATGAACCACTTTTCAGGAAAAACATTGCGCAAAATTCACACGAAGAACATGCAAAATATTTCACAGTAATTGCAGATTGATTGCAGATATGTTATTAATTATAATTCACCTACAATTAACCCTTGAGTTACCGCTTCAAAACACAATTTTAAAACTGTATAAATTTAATTTAAAACTATATAAACACTTTCTCGTCAAATTTCACAAAACGACAATTTTTATTTTCGCAATATTACTCACTATAAACAAGTTTACCCGATTATGATTATACAGCGGATGAGTTTGTCACATTCATTTCAAATATGTCCTAACGATAATATTTATTTCTTGAATGATAGTTTCCGATTCAAACGTCAACGGACCGCGAGTCGGCGCACGCGCCGCGCGGGATGAATCGAGACTGAACGTTCTAATTTTGAAATGAAGTGGGTTTAATAACATTGCGTATTTTCCCGTTTTCTCCCGGTGACATCCGCGATGAATCACCAATCTCAGTTTTTGCGTTCAAAGATTATTAAAAAAATATTTCTTGGCACTTACAACTAGTGAAATTATGACGATGTGAATGTACGAGTACTTATTTCAACTACGCTAGGCTATGAAAAAATCATGTCTCTATTTTTGTTAGTGGAGTGGGTACTGATAAAATATTACTCAATCGTAAGAAGTTTAAATTTGATTGCATATAAAACTAAAAACAATATGAATGCTGTAATGCTGTACAATATTTTAGTTCGCTAAGAAGTGGGTGATAATAATTATTACCGAGCATTGCCTACACGTAAAAATCAGATTATTACAATGATTAGCACAACATTGTTTATTGTTTAAAAAAACAATCATAAACATCACAACAAGAAGTAAATCAACACAAACTGTTAGGAAACAATAACGCTTTCGAAGAAATTGTAAGACAATGCCCATCGAGTCCGGTACAGACACGTTAAATAAAGGTCGCCATAAATAGAAGCAATTTTCTGATTAATTACAATACCTACAAGCGGTGTCCGCTAATGACCTTCCCAGCTTCAAACGATTTTCCAGACTCGTCCCATAAAAAATGCAGACAACCTTGAGCATTGACTGTTTTTGTTTATTAAACCGCGCATGATGTACTGATCTATGTAAATTTTATTTTATTAGCTAGTAACCGCGACCTTGCGTCGTCCATCGTCTTGAGTCCGTGCCAGGATCACATTTGCACTGAACGAAAACATTGTGTACATCGCATGCGAACATTCGTACTTGATATAAAAGATTCAGTAGCTTCACTAAAATATTACTTGTCTACTGCCAAGGCCTGATCGAACGAAATGATAACACAGCACACAATGAACACTTTGATCTTTGAATTGCATAAATTAAAACATCTAATAATAGATTTTCCTTTTATTTCAATCCTCGTGTTCCGGGTTAGTGACATTTAATCGTTTTGACCTTAGCTAATGAGATTACCAATATAACACCAATCAATTTATCTTCGTGACAGGGCGAATCCTCCAATACGCTCATAATATCATCCCCCAACTGCGTAAATTATTCACTACCGTGGCTATCATTAGCATAAAATAAAATGGTTCACAAAATAAATGATAACAAGCCCTCCATTATTGAAATTTCATACTTGCGAAGAGGCTTACAAAGTGGGTAATGAATCTGATCTGAGAACTGGTGATGCTTTAGGTTCATGTTTATGCTATTTCTCTTGTATTCTCTAGAGTTGGGGCCGGTGGTCTTGGGACCAAGCGAGTGCACAATTCACAGTTGATACTCTCAGCACTCTAGTACAATAATCCTCTCGGGATCCACAACCTCAATAGAGAACTAAGTAAGCAAAACGTAATTAGGTCCATCCAACGTCCTACATTCTGAGAATGGAATCCAAAAGTTCGATTCTAACTGGGTCAATAAGGCTATACCGCAGGTAATTGTTTCTTTCGACACGGTAATCACAAAGGGAGGGATTTTTGTTTCCTCTTCGCCTGTTCAAATGTTTGTGGTGACAACGCTAACGAAATCCCGGCTGCGGCGAGCTCGCACACATGTTGCGGAGATATATAAATAAGCTTATAGCGGATTTACATGATATATTACGTGCAAAGTGTACCATTAATGTTGGATAGCTTTTTTCGCTTGTTCCACTAACATTATGTTTACAAACGTTCGGTCAACAAAACGAGCATCAAAGAATTGTAAGTGGTTACTATTTGAACATCCATCTTTTATGTAAATAGAAAAC